GGAACAGCTAATCGAAATTAAAGCTTTTTTCTATATATAAGCCATATGTCTATCTTCAAGCCTTATATCTACAAGGGTATTTCATGCTCGGCGTGCCAAAGATAGCAAATATATCTTTTGAAGTTTTTGTCACATTACTTTAACAGATTAAATTCCTGGATTTCATTTAATCAGCCACAAACACTTTAGTCCAAAGGTTGACTACAAAAACAACGAAAAATGACGTGTTTGCTGTACACAAATAAATAGCGCCTAGTCACAAAAATGATTTCTGCTAATGAAGCCAAAAGTTGAAAGCGAGTCAATAATGTATATATATATGTATATTTATATATAAGTAAAAGCTGACAGATCGATATTGAGCCAATTGGATTAATTAAAAGCAGCTAAAAGTATATATAAAAAAAAGAAAAACAAACACAAAAGTTTATCAGTCACGCGATGAGCAAAAAGCCTCAAAAATAAATATATACCAAAAACACACAACTTATCAGCGGGGCGGGGGGGTTATCACAAAGTGTTATTGACGATAGCATATTCTATATACGATTTTGTACACATTTAGTTTGAGATTTTTTTTTGTTGCTCGTTTTTTGGCACTTCAACTTTTTAGTTTTGTTTGACTTAATGCGGTTAATGGGCTCCTCAAAGTCAAATTGTCATGTCGAGGGGCGACTTAAAGCTCATCACAGCTTAAATACAATTTTTGACAAAGTCGTTGCGGTTTTTTTTTTTGCTTTTTATTTTTTTATTTTTTGGTTTATTTGCAGCTTTTTTGCCAAATTTTTATTTGTACACAGCGTTTTTTCTTTCTCGAGCTTTAAGTGCTCATTAAGACGTCGTCGCCGGCGGCTTCTGTTGTTGTTTTTGGGGGAGTTTTGAGTTTTGTCTATGTGAATTCGGTTATTTATGGACTTTGAATGTGCTCAAGAAATTGCAAAACGTAGCAATTCAACTGGCTAAGGTCATGCACTCGCCATGGAGCTGAGCAGAAACAACAGATCGTATAATGTACAATATGTGCTTTATGGACGACGCTTTCTACAAGCCTCCCCTCAAATTGTGGCTTGGTCTCGACTTTATGGCCCATATGGTGAATAACCTTTCAACGTAACCGGCCAAGCTGAAATGGCGAAAAAAATACAGAAATTGCGCTCAAGAAATAAACAAGAAATATAAAGATTTTTGTTGTTTAATGTTGGCATTGTTTGTCTCTCGGCCGAATCTGCGTACATGCGATTTATGTGGAACTGGAACTCTGGCTTGAAGCTATGCTTATTGTAGCTCTTGTGCTCCTTTTTTCTTTTTAAACAATAAATCGATGGAGCTCTTTCACTTTAGGCTTGAAGCGCGCCAAATGAAAGGAAACACACACACAAAATGGCCCAAAGGCAGAAATTAAGTTTATTAATTTTTTGTGTTGTTTGGCAGATTTATGACAGCATTTTACATGCATAATTTGTAAATGCAATTTAAAAAGCTGCTGCACAACATTAATGCAAAAGATTATGTATATGTATTATTGATCAGTTAAAGCTTGCACTTTCATTGAGGAAATCGAGATTTTTAGTTCCAGTTTCAAACCAACAAAAATCTACCGAGAGTATTGCAAAATACTTAAAACTTCTACATATCTCCTTTGAAATCTCGATCTTTTCGAGCTTTTTAGTTCGATTTCTCAGCTGTGCAGTTCTATTGAACAAATCGAATTTTCTAGTTCCAATTGTTGCCAAAATGACAAAAATCTAGAGCTAGATATAGCAAAACATACAGGATTTCTTCAAGTTTGCGTTTCGAGCTTTTCAGTTCCATTTCTCACTCTTGCAGTTAAATTGAACAATTCGAATTTTCTAGTTCCCATCCAAAATTGGAACTAAAAAGTTCCACTGTGAATCGCGTCTAGAAATGCGCTAAGCAAACCAATTAAAGTCGCGTCAAGCAAACAGAAATCTATCGATATTTGATTTTTGTTTGCTTGTGACAACAACAACAACAAAAACAACAACAACAACAGAAACTAAAACCACAAGCACCGAGCGGAACTTGAATACCAAACGCCCAACTGTAAATATTTGCCCATACAATTAGCGCTGTGTTAAAAATCTGTGTGAAGAAGAAAGCTAAGCAAACTGCAAGTGGATGACAACCCTGGCAGCTGCAGAGCGATCTCCGAATGTTTTCTCTCGCTCGCACTCTCACTTCTCCATGCATCGATTGCATTTGTCGTAGGCAAATTAACAAATATTTCTCTAGCTCGCATTTTTGTGCCTATTGTTGTTGTTGTTGCAGTTGTTGTTTGCGGCTTGCGGCTTGTCGATTGTTGTTTGAACAACGCAACGCTCAAGTGTCAGTTGGCAGCCCTGGCCCTCTCCATGCCACATCAATTGCCCATGCACATGAACTTCAAGTGCGCTCATTTTCTTTTGACATTTGAACGGTTTCAGCTTTCGAAATTGAAAAGTAGAATATACAAAACGCGCATACCCCTACCCATAGTTGCTATACCCTGTGCCCAATTGGAAATTGGATAAGAAGGGGTATCACGATTTGTGCAAATGATTGGAACAGGCAGAAGATCGTTTCGCCAAACATATTTAGTACAAGTGTTAATAATAATAATCGATAAATCGATAATTATCGATTTGCAGTTTTTGTGTCTTAGGCATAGCTTGAAGCTGATAAGAGCAAACGAGAAGCTTGTGTCAGGGCCTCGGATAGTATACACAGATCCACCATCAGAATCTAGTATCATTAGACGAGTCGAGCTTGCTCCGTTTCCACGAAATCGATAATTATCGATTTTGCAGATAACGTTTTATAAGCATAGCTTGAAGCTGATAAAATCTGGAGATTCAAAAACATGTATTATATATTCAAATTGTATACACAGATCCAGAATTAAACCTTTTGGATACATGAGGAAATAGTGTTCATGGGTCTAGCGTATCTCCTGGTCGGGCACTGCCGACTAGAGCACTAGTACGTGTAGTTGTTGTCGAAACGGGTTCCGCACTCACACAAAACCGAGTTGAAAGTTCAACGGCGATTCATCGCGCGATATTGTAATCGCTGGAGTTTTGTGTGCGAGTGTGTGTGTGTGTGTGTGTGTGGTTTGTGCGCAGCTCATATTAAATGAGCCCAGGAGCAGAGGGTTAAATGAAGCGAAAGGAAGGGGCCACAGGGTTTTAGGGAAAGAGGGGGGCACCAGGTACAAGTTGTACTAGTGCTCCCCAACTGCCAAGAGTGGCTGTCACGGCAGCGGCAGCGGCAACGGGAACGACAACGGTGTCGGCTTTGGTTGGAGTTCAAAACGTTCGTTTTGGATTTTTGTTCGATGCGGTGGCGAAATTAAAAGCAACACGCTTAACCCGAGACCGACACACAGATACACACACACACATACACACACACACCCATAGATAAACACATGGATATATCGGCTCATTCATTGAAGAAACCTTTGCCCGCCGACCCATACAGTACACAGTCGTGCGCATTGCTTTAGAAACGATTTAATAAAGGGAAGTTGCATCGTTTAAATGCGTATCTAAGGAATGTGGCAGATGATTATGGAACTGTTGAGGCAACAATGGAAAAGCCCTCACTGTTAATGGGGCATGCATAGCTAGAGTAGAGTGTCAGTAATCGGTATTTAAAGTGCTGCACTTAGAGAAAAGGTTAAGTATCTTGGGCTCGATTTAAGAATTAAAGTTCTGAAGTCGCAGTCAAATTAAACTGAGAGCAAAGTTCCGACGCTTTTATTAAAGTGTTTTGCGAATATACAAGAATGTGATTAGAACTACTTTTAAATAAAAATAACTAATAATCAACAGAATAATTTTTAATATTAGTTGTCCGAAATTAATAATTTGAAAAGTTGTTATATTTAATTCTCGTACCATTGCAAAATGTCTCAGTAAAAGACTCAATTACAAAACTTATAATAAGATATGTTTTGTGCCTCTTGTAAAAGGTAGTTTTTATTTAGTTGCAACCTTTTGATCTAAATTATGATCCACAGCATGAGTTATTTATACTACAGTATATTATACTAGAACTCTGTGTTTCTCTAAGTGTATGTACTTTGTTGATAATGCCCAGTATCATGCAATAATCAGATGCTAGATCTTAAGAGCTCTTTAGCTCAAAACGTTATGAATTCCAAGCCGGTTATGCCAGTGTTTAGAATGTCGTTTTTTTTCACAGTGTAGTACTGCAACTACTGTGCACTGAAACAAGTTGTTGTTAATGCCTAAAATCATATAATTATCATATGCTAGCTGTTAAGTGCTTGAAACTTGATAGCTCGTATATCCGCAAGCATTCCAACTAATTCAATAAACTTCGTTTCTGCATGGTCAACCCGAACTGTGGGCTGTGCTCCGACAACCGCAGTTGACCTGAAATTCCAGGTAAACTAATGAAGCGCATGCCATGAGCTAAAAGACAAAACAGAAAAAAAAATATAAGAGCTTGCTTTGTTTTAAGCTGCTTTGTTTTTTAGTTTGCCCAAAATCCGTTTTGCACTTTGTGCAATTTTTTTGCCCAGCAAAAAGCGATTTATTTATGCCATAAAAAACCGAAAATAAAAAAAAAATATGCTACCTGTAGAAACCGCAGACGAGCTCTTATGAATAATGTTTTGCTTTAGTCCAAGATCGAGTTGGATTTAATGTTAAAGTTGGAGTTAAAGCTAAAGTTAAAGTCAATGTCGGGGTCGGTCAGTCGCTGGTCAAGCTTCACGTCTTTGAAATTCCATTGAAATTCGGGGCCGGTTCTCGATGTTCTGTTTTTTTGGTTTTTTTTTTTTTTTATTGCGGCTTCTTAGAAGTTTTGGCCGCAAGCCTTGCATGCAGTTCATTATGGTCATTATACATCCGAATTCTTAGCACACGGCATAAAAATTGCTTAATTCTGATAAGACACACAAAACATAAGATATAACTGAAAATGATATTAATTGTTTGTTGCATTCTCCATTTTGCCTGATTTATTTGCAGAAACTTTATGCTAGAGCCATTTATGATAATCACGCCGACGATCCGGACGAGCTGCCCTTCAAGAAGGGCGACATCCTCACAGTCATCGAACAGAACACCGAAGGCATCGACGGCTGGTGGCTCTGCTCGCTGCGCAACCGACAGGTGAGTTGCTAAGATAAGAGCTGGGCTCTAACTGGGAGCAGCCCTGCAGAGGGCATCTCGCTGTGCACTGAGATAAAGCATCACGAGAATGAGAATTAAAGAATAAATTATAGTAACAATTATGCGTGCTCTAGTTGTGAATGAGCGTAAACCTTCCTCTGCTTGATCTGATTATACTATTCCAGAAGATGGATGTCAAATTTGCTGACTCTAGCTTTTAATACTAAAGAGATTTCCTCAATTAACGGGATTTCGATATCGATTTATATCGATTGCTTAGACACGTGGTGAGTTATCGATGACAATGATCGATGACAAGCTCTACTAAGAGGATCTACATCTTAGGAGGAACTCGACATAGCTATTGCAAATATATGCACTTTAAGAGATGCTTTCTTCTTCTTATTACATCTCTCTTAATCCTTTTTACCCATTTTCAATGGGTTCAGGGTACTTCAATAGGATAATATATTAATTACCAAAGTATTAAACAAGTTTTTTTAATTCGAATTTCTCGCTTAGGCTCAAACATTTCTATGCTCATCAAATTTGAACAGCATTTTTTCTTGATTTAACAAGATTCTTGTTATTTTCTTCGAGTGCAGGTCCATTAAAGCCCTAAAGGGCAACGCCTTTGCGTGCTGTTTTGGCCGCGTATTTGTTTTGTTTGCTCCTTCTTCGGGTCTCTGTGCTCCGCTCCTAATTGCCAAATGGCTGCACAGCCACGCCCCATTTCAGCTGTGCATCTGTAATTAAACAATTGAGGCATTTGCATAAGTTCTACCGCCCTTTCCAATTATTTTGCATTCCATTTGGTAATAAAAAAAAAAAAAACCAAACCTAATTTGAATTTATAATTTAATTTTGTAATACTTCGAGTCTGGACAGATCCCAGGCTTCTCGTTATGTTCATGATTCATCAACATCATCTCGGGGCACGTGGCCGCCACCCGCCGCATGCGGGCCGCGCCGGTTGCATATAAATTTCACATTTGGCACTTTAATTGTGTCCGCAGCTGTAATAATAATCCCCATAATACTACGGCGAGCATTATGAGCGATTACCACAGTGCATACAACATTATTTGGACATGCTCGAAGCTGGCCCATGCTGGTCCAGAAAGCCGTGGAGCGGCGGCGAGCTGCAGATCGAGGGGTGTGAATTATGAAAAGAGGTCGATGTTGTCAGTTTGATTGCGTACAACAAATTGGAATGAAATGTTTCACAGTTTGTTAAGCTTGTTCAACAAAAAGAATATCAATTAATTGGGCTGAAAGCATGAAAATAGTCGAAAAAGTGGGCAAACAAACGCTTCGAAGCATGCTCTGCATGTTGATTAACTTTTTATTATTTCTGCTGGAATTTGAAAAAAATATTTAAAATATATTCAAAACTATGCCAAGAATTTGGGAAGGATTTTGTTCTAAAACAGATTTCGTAGAAATATTTTGTAAATAATAAAAAGCCTTACAAAAGTTTACGTGCGTTGTTTTCAAAGTTTATTATCATTAGGCTTAAAATATTTACACGAGATATGTTGATTTGATATGTTTATATGTTTACTTGCATTTTCTCCATTTGACATTTTATTATTATATATTGAACAAAAGAAGTGAACTGCAGATGTGTTTCATTTGCGAAGAATTTTAAATTATAATTACAATAATAATAATAATTTTCATAATCGCGTGTTTTTGCATAATATTAAATGTTGGTTGGACTGAAATAAGTTTTATTTATTTATCGAAATACTTATAAATAATAAATAAATAATAAAGCAAATGCGAGGCCAAGCAACCGCAATCGTTGCTTAATAATTAATTTTTCAGATAACTGAAGTTTATTTAAGTATAATTTCTGGCATTTCGCGACACTAATTTCATAGATTACCCTGCTTCAACTTAATAACTTTATTTCCTCTATTGTTTGGCAAATAATCTGTGATCTCTTAATGTTCACATGTTCAAAATATGCAACCTTGAAGCTCTGCCCCGATTAGACCCAACCCAAATACAAAACTTATAAATGGCAACACAAAAATTTCCACCCCAACAAAAAAAAAAACACACACACCCGTTGTCTAAATTAAAAACTGATCAACGGGCAAAGCTTGAAAACATTTTTGCACGTCGCTGGCAAAATTGCAGCTCCGAACATATTTTTAATTAACAACTCAATTGGCCGGGCTCAGCACTCAGCACTCAAACACTCACGAGTACTCATGAGTACACTCATGCGGCGATAGGCTGGCGGTGTCTGTCTGGTCTGTCTGTTGGTGTCAAAACACATATCAAAATGGAAATCAAAATCGCTTTAGATGGCCATAGACACATGCATAGCTGCAGATACACAGATACACAGATACACAGATACATAGATACAGATACTCAGATACTCGGTGTCGGCCAATTGTCGTTAATTAAAAAGTAGCCGCACTTTTTAATGGAAACAATTAACCCAAAAACGGCCAATTGAGTGGCGACAGCGGCAACAACAATGTTTTTCATACATAAATTTAAAATAAAATGAAAAAAAAAAACTAAAAAGTTTAAAAATGTTTTCAACAAAAAAATATGCAGCATAAATTATTCAGCACTTGCTAAAAAAAAAATTAAGAAACGGGGCGCAATTTTCGTTGTTTACGGCTAAAATAAAATTGAAATAAGCTGCAACACATGTTGACAAGATTTTTTCCTACCTCTTTGAAGCTGGCAATGGAAACTCAGTTCGTATATCACATCAAAAAGTCTCACACAGATGTCAAGAAAATTGACAAAAGATCGGCTGCAAAAAAAAAATCAACTGCACTCGATTTAAAGTCAGCTTGACAGGCAATTAAAAAATTGCAATTTATTTTATGCTTTTTTATATATAATATTTCTATATATATTCTTTATTAATTAAGAATGCACTCGGCATTCAGTTAATAAAAAAGCAATCGAAATCAATTGGACTCATTGAGTGGCAGCCATGAATTTTGACTGATAGCCCAGTTCCCTCGAGAAATATTCCAGCATGTTGTACTCAATTCGCAGCAAAATGCAGCTAAGGTCGAAATTTACAAAGTTCTGATTTAATCCTAAACTTCATTTAAGAAATTTCTTTTGTACTAAATATTATCAACAAGTTCTGATCTAAAGCCCAAAATCCTAAACTCAATCTTTGAAATTTGTCTTGTAGTAAATATTATCTACATAGTTAAAATTTAACAAGTTCTTATCTTAAGCTCGAAATCAGTGAGTTCTTATCCCTATTTCTTGTCAAGTTTTATGGAAATCTAATTGAAAAATATTTAGAAATTAAGTTAGCTATTATTTTAGAGATCAATTGCTAAAATTCGCTTGCTTTTATTTTTTGTATAGTTCTAAAACCTTGTTTTATTTTTGGTCTATTTACAGGGTCTTTGCCCCGGCAACCGGTTACGCATCTTGAACTCGTACGATTCGGGCTGTTTCTCACCATCGCCGGCCAGTTCGCCAATACCCTCGCTGGCGGCCAGTACGGCCACATTGAACAGTTCCATCTGCTCGGCGGAGATCTATGAGAACGGTTCCATCATCAGCGCATCGGGTGCATCTGGCAGCAATGCGGACAGCCAATCCACAGGCTCAGCCTCATCCAACGGCCAGGGCCGCGGTGCACGCAGATCGTGGCATGTCTCGCCGAACAAGGTAGGTTAAACGCAGTTTCTGTTTCCTTTTTTTTAAATTTTGTTATTTTTTAATTTAACGCTTCGTCTGCGTTTCCTTGACGGCAACCAACTCCCTCGAGACGCCCCTGGGGCTGCTCCTAATTGATATCATTTCATTTAGTTTTCATTTAATTTGATTTTTCTGATGCCCTTTGAGAGGGTAGTTAAACTTTGTCATAAAATGTGCAACGCAGAGAAGGAGATGTCTTCGACCGGATATGCAAATCGACCAGATCGCAATACTATATCATATAGCTACAATAGAAACGAAAGTTCTTTATGTTTTTAAATATCATAACGAAATTGGATTTTAATGCTGCTTCTTTATTCAAACTAAATCAAGTCAACAATGGACTACTATATCAAATCAATAGGTCTTAGTCTTAGTCTTAAGTCTTAGTAAGGAAAAATGGGTTGATTCTCGCGATATTTCCTTACATAACCTTAAAATCGTAAGCAATATAGATAGCAGATGCAAAGGGTATCTACTCTTCGGTATGCCGAATTTAACTTTCTTTTCCTGTTTTTTGCTGTTTCTTTTTTTGGTTTTTTGGCATTTCTGGCATCGTCTGGCTTATTTATTTTTGGCTTGTTCGTCTTTGGGTCGTGGCTACTGCACTTTTTTAATTTTGCATTTTTTTTTCTGAATTATGATATCCGTCTGGAAAGTGAAAGAAAGTAATTTCTCGAGTCCGCCGGTTTTCCATCATTATGGCCCGGCCATCGTTCACTCTGCACGTCAATTGCGTGTCGTAATTGTGCAATTAATAAGAGCCAAGTGGAGAGTCGGCAAGAGATTCCAGTGGATGCTGCAGCTGAAACTGTGGCTGAGGCTGAGGCTGGGGCTGATGCACTGCATCGCCGCCAGCTGCAGGCTGCGTGTGCGCATGTCCAACGGGTTTCCGTTTTTCCTACTTTTTTTTTTTTTGGCCTGTCTTTGCATATGGCTCGTAATTTGCCAATTTGTCAGCTGGACATGCGTTTTATTTGCATTTCAGTTGATCTTCTGCTCCATGGACTAGTCTCACTCCCCTTGATTTGCCAAATCGATGTCCGTAATTAAAGGAAACGAATAATTTGCACTTGGCCAGACAGCTGGCATTTGTTACAATAATATGAAACTCTATATGCAAATAACTGAAGCAGCTAGCTTAAGTTTCAAGTTGACTTTAACCAAATCGAATTTGGGATGCTCTAGGAAAGGCTTTAAAGGAACCTTAAGCCGCAGCAAGTGGATTAAGAACAAGCTGAACCTCAGCCTCAACGGAACCCTATTGAAATATGTTGTTTCAATATTTGTAAGGCTTAAAAACATATTTAATTACGCAAATCGCCAACTCAATTTTGGCTTCATAGATGTGAAAAGCGGGTTCAGTCATTGATTCAAACCGTGAAGCGAACCACTTAACATTTTTGTCGGGCTTGCAGCCATATCTCCAACACATCATCGTGCTGTTTGACCCACTCAATGGACAATTACCCATGGCAATTGTTTCGTTCAGGCCTTTCAATTTCATTTGGCAATCCGTGTCAGTGCACTCCTCCACCACCACCATCACCTCCCCCTCCTCCTCCTCCTCCACGAGCTCCTCCTCCAGCACTTTGGACCTTGCATAACCGCATTCATAATTGTCCATTATCATTAGCACCACATGCAATGGAGGCGTTCCAGCTTTGAACTTTGCCATCTGTGTGGATGGTTTTTTCTTTTTATTTTTATGTTTTGTATAATCTATGGGCCTGTTGGTCTGTTGGTCTCTCAGACTTTCGCTTTTCTTCGCACTTGGCGCAGCAAATCAAATAAAATAAACTACAAATTATAGAGTCTCGTAAACATTTCCTCGCATTATCGGCAGCTATCAATCTTTTTGCAGCCAAGTGAAACCATAAATTCAAATTTCAAATAAACGCTGCGCCAGAAGGAGAAGCGGCCACGCCCCCTCCTCCTCCACCTCCCCCTCATTCGCCTATCAGACATTTGATTTGTTGTCTGTCCATCGGTTTTGAGTCCAATCAACAAAAGCTGCAACTGCAAATTGCAACGGATTTTGTTGCCACTGGCGCAGTGGAAGATTGCGTTGATGCCTGGTGAAACCTTTCTTGCCATGGCGGAGACGAGACGAGACCTCGACATTTCCACAGCGAAATGCACCGCTGGCTGCGAGTGGCTGCGAGGGAAGGAGAAGGGGGAGTCTGAAGTGGTAGCTGTAAAAAATTAAATGCCGCTTTTGTTCAATTTGACTTGTCTATGCTGTTAAGTTTTATTGATTCGGCCACAAGAAACACAAGGAAAATGGCACGTCAAATTGAAAAGCTCCACTCGAAAGCGTCAAAAACTTAACGCAGCTGACACTGGTCTGGGCAGATGGAGGACGGTGGAGGGAGGAGGAGGAGCTGCTTCACTCTCAACTCTCGCACTTGGCTTGGAACCCAGCCGAGTTGGCTAGCCACTAACACCTGAGTGCCGCCAACAGGTGTAAACGAGTTGAACAATTTCCCAAGTGCCGTCCAAGCCGTCTTTAGCTTTGTGTTCCGAGTGCCACATATCATGTGCGTATCAGCTGCATTCCCCGAAACTTAATTGAGAACGGAAATGTCTTGAACTGAATTGTTGCGCAACATTGTTGGGCAGCCCAAATGCTGCAAGTGTCTGCCGCGAGGCCAGCCCACGTTCCACAACAAATCTATTCGCCAGCCAGCCCGATAAGCTGAGCGTGTGTCGATTCTTCAAAAGTCGAATCTTGAATACCCTTAGACAAGGCTATAAACATAGCTGCTAGCTTCCTTAGTACTCACGTAAAAAACTTCAAAATTTGTGCTTAATTCAAGTGCAAGTGTTTTTAAAATCCACATAAAATTTCTTAAACTGAGAATGTGAATTTAGCCTTAAAATTCCAAAATGCCAGACTCAAACATTATAATTGAATAGTATCTAACATTGCACTGCCATTAAGAACGTTTATCGCTTATTTTATGTTTGAAAAATCTTGTTTTAAAAATGTTTGACTTGTTTCAATGTTTTCTTTCCAATATGTTCAATTCTGATTGATACTCTAGAGCTCAAGAGCTTCTTTTTCAATCACAGTGGAATTCAGAGACAAGCATTTCTCCGAGATTATTTACATTATGTCATAGTTAGTCTTTATTTTAAAGAACTTTTAATGTGTAGCTTGTTTTTTAGCATTTTTTAAGAGCCAAGCTCAAGCTATCTTATATATATTTCTTTCCTAAGCTTTGCCCTCAACGTTCTTGCATTTGTTATAAAAAACAGTTTAATTTTTGGCACAATTTTTAGCTTAAAAATTAGAGAAAAAGTGGAAGCAAAATTTGTTAAAAGCATTCATAGAGACATGGTTAAATTCCATGAAAAAGCGATTATAATTTATGGCTGTGGCTAAAATATAAACCCTCACACATTATTATAATCAATACAAACAAACTTTACAATATTGCGCAGAGGCCTGTTTCTGGTGTCGTCAACAAAATAAGTAAAACCACATAAATATTTACGTCTCATTGTCGGCCTGACCAAAAATAAATCCCAGCGGGGACAGTGGCCAAATCCGAGACGGCAACCGAGAGACTGAGACTGAGAGACCAAAGCAGCCAAGCGGACGGCTCCACCGTTAGGCAGCGGCCAAGATTGTGACAATTTCGAGTTCCTTGAGCCCACATAAGAGTCTGAAAGACCAAGACTCCACCAAGCGTGGTCACGCACTGCCCATAAAACTGCGTCCGCGTCCGCGTCTGCGTCTGCCGCTGAGTCCGCGATTCCAAGTCCAAGTCAGGTTGCCGAATGGCCAACTGCAGCCAACTGCATCAAGATTTATGGCAATGTGGTCAGCTCTCTGGCTGGAGCTGAGAGTCCGCTTGCTGCTGCTGCTGCTGGAGCATTTCCAAAAAGAGTTTTCGAGTTTGTGTGTGAGGAAAACATGTCATTTTTATTTCAATGACCAAAAATGGACACAAAATGCCAGCCAGAAGCAAATGCGACAACAATAACTCTTCATTGTTGTTATTGTTGTTGTTGTTGTTGTCTGTGGCTCTGCCGAGATTTGTGCATGACCAAAGTTAGACGAACTTATAAAGAAGAGAAGAGCTCTGCCCCTTAAGGCAAGACCTAGCCCCGCTCCGAGGAGGAGGAGGAGGAGCATGAGGCCAATGCGAATGCGGATTTCTTTGCCATCTGAATGTTGTGAAATCGCCTGCGCTCCAAATATATATAAATACACACACAATGTGTGTATATATGGCAAGGTCGCCAGCGCCGATCCTAGGGATTAACGGTTTCAATTCAACCTAATGATCAGCTCTGGACCTCAATAAATAGCCATTAATTAAGTTTTCCAAAAGCAAGCACTTGAAATTTGCGGCACTGATTGAGGCAAGATCTCAGCATGACGCCACAGAAATAAATATTAAAAAGAAGCAAGTAAGAGTGCTTTTGTCGGGCGTGTGCGACTATTAGATACTCTGTGTTTGTGGTGCTGAATGATGAGCTTCATTGAGAGTACGTAGAACAAGGCTGTTGTACTGTTGATGCTGTTCAAGAATATATATATATACTTTAGCCTCTGAAACACCCTATACTCAATTCGTACAGGGTATCAGTTAAAGATACAGCCTGCGGGCATATTAGCTACTCACCCCAACGCAGTTCCTCCCTCCGTCCTCTCTTCAATGGCCGCCAGCTTAAATTTACTTAACAACAATTTGCATATTTGTACAAATGTTTTTTTGTTCTTGTATTTGGTACGTGAGAAAATGTTGAAATTTTGTCAAAGAACTGTCCATGCCCCTTCTCCGATATGTGTGTGTGCGTGTGCGTGCAGGTGTGGAAGGTGTGAGAGCAGCATTGAAATGCATCAAATGAGCTGCAAAGATACAAATCTTGTGCGGCTACCGTGCTCTGTGCTCCATGGAATTTAAACAGGGCCATAAAAAACAAGCATAGACTGTTGTGACAGCCGAAAAGATTTGAAAGATTCTCGCACAGAAGCAACAATCCTGCCATAAAAAAAAGCAAATGTAAAAAACTAAAAAGAAACGTTTGCGATCGTGCTGTGAATTTCAACTTTCAACTATCAAAATCCAATTAAAAATGGCCGAAAGCCAAAGAAAGATAGAATTCAGCTAACAAACCGAGCTGTTGCCAATTTAATAATGCTGCGCCCCCGGGCGGCCATTTTAATGGCCCATTTCGCAACATGGGCGAGGGGTGTGGCAGGTGGCGCGACCCATTAAAAAGTTGCCCCAAATGTGTCATAAACATACATTTCTGATCTATGGGAACAACAGTCGCTTTCCATAGCACAAATCGAGGCCAGACAAACAATAACAGCATAAACAAAAAACAAATGGAAAAGTCACGCAAAATTGCCTGGAAAAATCAGCATGAAAAATCAAAGAAAAGTGACCTCCTTGAAGCCAGGCCGCATCGCCAATCCCGCTGTGCTGACCCATTTCATAAAAACTAGATTCAGGCCGAGCCCAAAAGAAACGCTGCGCACCGGGTCTTAGGTTACCCAATGGCTCCTTTTGTATACCCTTGCAGAGAGTATTATAAGGTTAGCGTGAATTATGTAACGCATAGGAGCAGATGATGCTTGCGAGTCAATAAGGTATATATATACATTCTTGAACGGTATTAACATTCGAGGCGATAAATCTTGGAAAAAACTCCACTATTAAACGCTTCTCTATTCTTCTCATCTATTCGCGAAGCCCTTAGTCATATGTCTAGAAGAGTATTTAATCTTCGGTTTTCCGAAGCTTGTCTTCCTATCTTGTCTTGACTTCCAAATGAAGTTCAGCTGCCCTGATTTATCCCAGTTGATAAGAGCCTCCTTTAGTGCCGTTTTTGTGTTGCAGCTGTTTTAAGGATCGACTTTTCTATATGTGAGTATCCTTTTGAAGCAGCATATTTGTTATTGGCGAATTGTGACTCGTGTTACGCGTCAACTGACACTTCAAAAGGACTCGAACGGATGAGGGAACGTAGAGCAACTGCCGCCAAAGTGGACGCACTTCAGGTAGCCGCCTAAGGGTTGCCCCTGTCCCTAACCCTGGCCCTACCTTAGGGGTTGGCCTTAACGGTTTACCTAATTGCGAATCGATTCAATATGCTGCCTATTTGTTTGTTTTATTTTTTTTTTATTCGGCGGTAGGCGTGGCAGCTCGATGCGTGCTCATTATAATTAGGGTAGCTGCGGCTATTGATGAATTTGGCATATGGCTGTAATAATATTTCATCAATCGAGCAGATGGCCCAGTCATGCCGCAGCATATTAGGCAAAAGTAAATAATATTAAGGCTCTGTTCCTTATGCATTATGCGGCATCAGACTGCAGAATTATGCTCTTCCCAGGTTTCTCTACTCTTCCCATTGCATTTTTATGCGAATTCCCACTATTTGGTTCTTTGTTTAGCTCAGGTTCAGGTTCATTTTACCTTGACACTGAACGGCATTGAGCTGCAGCCGCTAAATATCCCAGTGTTTTTGTGCGCATGCCCTAAACAGTTCCCAGTATTTTTCTTACAAGCTGCACTATTTGCAATTTCGTTTCGGGGCCATTTCACAGTCAAGTTTTTCCCATTGAACAGTGAAGTTTTCTTCAGCGCAGCTTTTCATTTTGTCTGCCTGAATTTTCTTTGTTGATTAATTTGGCATTAATTGATAACAAAATGTGATAGTTGCTTGAGACCAATTACAGCCAGACAGACAGGTGTGCGCCATACTCGTGCTCGGCTATTTTGCTTTTCATTCATAAAATGCGGAAAAGGTCCTATAACAACAATTGTGAAAATCGATACAAGTCACGCGTAGTAAAGGGCGGAGTTTCACGGGCTTACCTAGCCACGGCAACGACAGCTATAGACAAAAATATATATAAAATGGGAATTACCACTACAATTTCAGTTATTATTACAATTGAAATTTTCAACTAAAAGAACTGAGAAACCAATTAAATGTTTTTTTTTTTAAATAATATAAATTTAAACAAATTATTCAAAATATGTCCGAAATTATTAAAATTATTATGATTATAAATTTTTAAAAATATGTCCGATGATTAAGAAATTGAAGATGAATTTTCGTCTTGCGTTTTCTCGGGAGCCTGAACCCTAAAATTTGTGCTCCGTTTGGGGAATTAACGATTCAATTGATATATTTACGATAAGCATTAGGGAGGTCTGTACTAACATCTAAATAGTCTGTACTAACATCTAATTAGTCTGTACTTCTCCTTTACGAGAGCCATATCTGGTTGCCTCATAATGAAAAAGATCCCAAGAAAAATTCGCATAATGAATATGAACTGGACTGTATTTGCTTTTGTGCCAAGCCAAGAGCCCCACCCGAACGGCTACCCACTCGAAGTACTTCTCTAATTCGCTTCTTCCTTCTCCAATTGCAGGTCATTACGCCGCAGCGGCACGGGGATGTGTACATCTACAACAGCTCGCCGGGAACATTGTGTGGAGCGCCGCGTTCACCGCATCCTCAGCAGATTTACGGCAACCAAAGCATCTATCAGAACCTCGGCATGATGATGGGCACACCGAATGGCAATGGCAATGGTAACGGCAGCGAGTTCGAGACCTACGACATACCCAAGCCGGCGACGCCTGTGCCCCTGAACTATGATGGTCCGGGCAGGCAGGGCGTGCGAACGCCCACAACGGGCTCTGCGCTGGGCGCCCGATTCGATTCGCTCAAGAGCGTCGGCGCTTCCATGTCCATTGAGGAGGAGTCCTACGATGTGCCACGCCCACTGCTGCAACAGCAGCAGCAGCAGCCGCAGCACACGCTAACACCCAGCAGTTCGGCATCCTCACTGCTGACCAGCGACAGCCTGTCGCTGAGCTTCTCCAGCTCCAATCGCAGCTCGCTGGCCAACATGCCGGACTATGATATACCACGCCGTAATCCGTTGCCCGTGCGACATCAGCGGCCGCATGCCGCCAGCTACGACTTTCCGCTGCTGCCGCCGCTCCAGGAGCAGGATCAGCAGCAGCAGCGCATGTCAACCCACCAGCCCACCAATGGCAGCCAAGCGCTGAGCAGCACCAAGGAGCTGCCGCTGGAGCTGAACTCGGCGCTGGAGACGCTGGCCAAGCTACAGTCGCAGACAACGCAGGCCATAACGCGTCTGCTCAGCTTTGTGGTGCCGCATTGGCGCACCCGAGCACAGCTGGAGCCGCACATTATGGAACTGCGGCTGGCTGCACTGCGTCTGCGCACCGCGCTGCACGATCTGGCCGAGTTTGGCGAAGGTGCTCTGGGCAATGCGCAGCGTTCCGAGGACAGGAATTTGGCCCTTAAGCTGCGGCCGTTGGTGCGTGCCCTGCGCGATGCCAACAAGCTCATCCAGGACTCCTCCGAGGCGTTGGATGCACAGGGTGGTGGCTGGTCCGTGGAACAGCTGGCGCGCAGCGATGAGAAGCACGGCTGCCGGCCACCCGATAGTCTGGATCAGCTGATGGCCTGCGCCCAGACACTCACCGAGGATGTGCGCTCCACGACCAGCTTCATCCAGGGCAATGCTTCGCTTCTGTTCAAGCGCCAGCTGCCCGCGGAGCAGGCCGGCTCACAGAATGGGAGCAGTCGCGGCAGCGCCGAGTGGCTGGAGGACTACGACTATGTGGCCTTCGAGTCCAAGGATGCCGCTGCCAAAAAGAATCAGGCTCTACGTGATGCCATACCCGCCGGCCTCAAGACCCAGTTCGATTGCGCGCTCAAGATCGCCGAGTGCACGGCCATGGGCACGTCGGTGCCCGCGGCAGTGCCCACCACGCCCACAGCCGCGCCCAACAAGTCGCCGGAGATGACAGACAAGGACAAGAAGGTGGTGCGCTACTATGCGCAGCAGATCACCACGCATATGGGCAATCTGCTGCAGGCGATCGATTCGTTCCTGGAGACGGTAGAGAAGAATCAGCCGCCGAAGTTTTTCATCGCCTACGGCAAGTTTGTTGTGGTCAGCGCACATAATCTGGTCAGCATTGGTGACGATGTGCATCGCAATATCTCCAAGGAGGCGTTGCGCGAGAAGATACTGCATTGCACCAATGCCCTCTCCGATGCGCTCAAGACCTGTGTGCTCAAGTCCAAGAAGGCGGCGGCACATTTCCCCAGCGGCAGTGCCGTCCAAGAAATGGTCGACTCCGTGGTGCACATCAATAATCTGGCGCGTGATCTCAAGACGGTGATGCTGCAGGCCGTTAAATTGTCCGCCGGAGATGGAGCCTGAATTGATAGCTGTGCTTCGAGGCGACAATCCAAAGCAGACAGTATTTCGTAGGCTTCCAAGGTCTTCCAGGCAGGCAGCTGGCAATGTTCCTTACTCTGGTAACCACGCTTTGACTATGCAATAAACCCAACAGCATCCCCGCACGCATCGATCCTCGATATACATATATATATATATATACATATATATGAATACATATATCATTTGCATTGTGATATTTTGGAGCAAACATCTGAAAAATGCACATCTCCCGATATCATACATATATGTGTACATGGATCACGCATATGTATATATATTTTGCGATAAATATGCATAATAATTACGATTACGATTACGATTACGATAACGATAACGATTACATTTAGCTTATATTTATTGTTTTTGAGGTTAAGTCTCTGTAAATAGCACTCCTTAATACTTAAATCTAGGTTTCCTTTTGTACATTTCTATTTCAAAATGCGGCACACGCAAAATTATGTTGTATCAGTAAAGCATTTCAGCAGATAATATTATGTATGTAGTATGTCATAGAAATAGCTTTAACGCTTCGTATACCCATAACTAATAATAATACGCAAACCTAGCATGTAGCGGAAAAACATACATATACACATACATAGTCAAAATCTGTAAGATTTGCAAAAAACATTTTCGTTTGCGCAAGGCAATAGTCAGCAATACACAAGAAAAATAATAATTAGCCATACCATACTGTTCGTAACAAATAAATATTATTACGCGATTTAACGTAAGCGCAGACTATGAATGAATAGTAATAAAATAATATATATTAAATAATTGTCACTTACTTGTTGCAAACTGATTAAGATTATTGTAAGTACTTCCCGGTATTTTACGGTACCCACGTGTACGAAAAGTAGCGCTAACGCTCGAAAATATATATACGTCAACATTGCGTGTAAATATCGATAACACAATGTGAACTTCAAAAATGGATCATAAAGTTTGACCAAATCAATTTGGCGGTGTCTGGCGGAAACTCTAATTAAAATATACAATCCAGTGCACTTTATTCAATTCACAATCTATACAAGATCTTTTGTGGCGGCTAACAATTGATGTCTTATCTTCTTTTCTGGTGAGTAGCACATTTATTGGCGCCAAGCTCTGTAAATTCGATTTTTCATAGATCTGGCCAATGATCAAGTGGTTCAGCAGAAGTTGCAAGCAACTTCCGACACGGAAATCAAGATAAAACTATATTTTTAGTCCGAGTGAATGACCTTACACGACATATTTAAGTAAACTAAGCTAAAAGGGACCCCTCTGTGCCATGTAAAACAAACAAATTTTGTATATATAACCATAAAATAGATTGTACTTTATTGATCAATCAAACTCAATCTGTGGACATCAAAAGTATATAAATATCGACGTACGACTAATGGTATGTTTAGTTCTTAATTTGTAAAACATAACCCCAAAAAAAAAACAAATGCAGTTCTTAAGTAGTATCCAAAGGCAATTCAATATTTTTAATTATTTAATTCGCATTCGGCTCTCCGCCATTTAATTCAAATTTTGTTTTAAATATAGCGGCTCGATTAGTATCGATAGCTTTCAACAATAAGCAGGCCAGTGTTGCCCTGAACCTATCGATAGTTTTTTAATTCATCGTGACATTTAAGCACATTGTTTTCGTCGTGCTCGCTGCGCAATTGGAAAATCGTCTGCCAAAACATAATAATAAATAGATAAAATATAAAAAACATTGCGCTAATTTGGCAGACTTACTAAATTTAAATTACCATATTGAGCAAAACATTTGAATGGGCTGCTTAACTTTTGGCGGCAAGCAAGAACTTCTTCATCTTCTGTTTTTGCCATTAACATATTTAGTTGCGCGAATGGCTCTATAAACTGTTGATTGCAGTTTTGCTCGGAGATAAGGAAAGAAGCGCTGCACATCATGTTGCAATGCGTCTGTTGCAAATGTGGAGCGCTCGATTGCAACGCCAATTCGACTTTATGCCTCGCCTTCGCGGGAGCCCATCAGGATCATTGTTTTTGTTGTGCGCAGCCACCTCGCATGAAATGCATTCACTGCAATATGTGGCGTGAGTTGTCGCCAATGGAGGCGCACGGACCCTGTGTTGGCGGCTCTTTGCATGTATTTGTGTATTCGGAAATATGGCCGCCGTTTCCCGAAAATACACCATTATCGCCGCTGCGCGCTATGCCTAGCACGGATGGCGATACAGAGCATATGTATCGGGCCCCTGACTCACCAGCACAGTCAAAGGAAAGCCTCAACGACATCGAGCGCGAACCATATGCGGTTGCAGAAGACAACGTCAACATCAACAGTCCGGTGTCTATCATAGATCTGGCCGACGACGATCAAGAGGGGCAGCAGGAAGCGGATACAATGTCCGACGTGGACATCAAGCCAAAGCTGGCGGTGAAATGTGATTGGGTGAACATAACCGATATACTGAAGTGGACAAATTGCACTCGCTGCGGATTGGTGCGCATCCAAAAGAGAGGCTGGCTGCGGCATGTGCAGTCGTGCGCACAAGATCCGAAATACAGATCCAATAAATTGTTTATACACCTGCACACAAAGGCCTGGTGCGGCATGCTGGTGCGAGACATTTACTGGGACAAGCACACGCATCCCGAGAATGGAACATGTGATATGTGCCGTCTAAGGTGCAGATCTCTAAATCAATTGTGCTATGGTTTTTTAATTAATTTGATTCCATTGCAGCCGCATGAATAATGTACCTTTGCCATATCAACCAAAGCCGCCGCCACGCAAGAACGAGACCACGTTGGAGAGAAGTCGACGATCTCGTATGATAATTAGCCGTAGGAAACGTAGACAGACAATTGCCTTAGATACGTTTATACACAATGCAGGCGGCACGGACTCCATGCAAATTGTTGACTGCTCTTCGCTTCGTCAAATCTAAGGTTTGTTCCAAGTTGCAGTATTATTATTATATGTTACTTTAGCTATATGTAAAAATAAGTATAACTTTATCAGAGATACCGCTTTATTGATCAAAAGTGCATTACATGTGTATCCAAAGGATTAATATATCCCAGTAAGGCGACTGGTATGTCAGGAAATTCATAAGAAGTATAACAAATATATCCGAATGCCATTCCAACCAACTAACTCATCAAAAATCAGCTCAGCAGGTCTCTGAAAGTAGCTTAATTTAGTTAGATAATAGTTGAACTAATTTTACGCATCCTTGGCACATCGAAACCCTAAATTGCTGGCCGAGCTGTCTTCGGTATTTTGGGAACGCGCTGCGCAACGATAGCGATAGCAATAGGACTTGTGGCACAAATAGGAGCCGCCCTTCTTGACGCGATTCGGGCTCTCGCTGGTGTCGCCGGCCTGCCACAGATCCGACGTCCATTCCCAGACGTTGCCCACCATGTTGTACAGATCGTAGACGTTCTGACGAAACTCATCTACTGGACATGTGAATAGATAGCCATCCTGCGCGGTGTTACCATCGGGAAACTCGCCCTGCCATATGTTCAGCCAGTGCTTATCCTGGGGCATCAGCTTGTTGCCCCAGGGGAATAGCTTGCGCTGCTTGCCACCCCGGCAGGCCACCTCCCATTCCGCCTCGCTGGGCAATCGTTTGCCCGCCCACGCACAATAGGCCACAGCATCGCGCCAGGAAACATGCACAACTGGATGCTGCTCCAGACCTGAAAAGCAATGAGGATGCAGTCATATCATGTTGTCAGTTGGTGGAAAACTTACCTTGCAAATTGCTAGCGATGCCGTTTGGCCTACGCCAGCTAACGCCGCTGACCTTGTACCACCAAAGCGCATTGGCCACGCGGTAATCCTCCAGCTCCGCCTGCTGTGCTGGCGACAACATTGTCTTGAACAGAAAACTATCGCCAAAGCGTTCCGCTTCAGTAGTATAGTTTGTGGCTTCAACGAATTTTGCAAAATTTGCATTGGATACCTCGAATTTGTCCACGTAGAAGTCTTTGATCTTTACCACACGCTCTGGAGCCTCTCGATCTGCCTCAAAATGCGGCTCATCTGTGCCAATATTCACACTGCCGCCAGGTATAAGTGACATGCCCGCAATCTCCGGCTCAGCCTCCGGATAGTAGTCGCGATAATGTTTATTTTTATTGCGCCCCTGCTGCTGGCACACCTGTTGCGCCGGCTGCTCCACGGACTTAGTTTGAGTGGCATCGGAAGCATCCCTCTCCAGCTTGTTGCAGCCGCAGTCGCCGTTGGCATTGTGGTAAAGAAACCCCAATAACAGAATTGCGGCCTTCAATTGATTCATTTTTCTATTCTCGTAGCCGCAGTTGCGCAGCTGAGCGCCAGGGCTGCAATATACTGATTACATATTCGATAACCGTTCGATAACAACTCTCCCGCCAATTCTAGACATATTTTTATTTTTTTATTGAATTCAAAATTGAAATGCTGAATTAATCTTATCAATAGGCATTCAAACAAATCAAAAATCGATGGCTTAAGAAAAGTTTTTGAACAAAAACCGATTCGTTTGTAAAATCAACCTCTTTTGATCCTTTTTTTGGAATATCTCGGCCAAATAATGTCCGATTTTGTTATTTTATACCATTTTCGACTCGTAACGATCAGTACTATCGATTGGCATCAAAAGAATTAAAATCTAAATTTTGACCCAAATCGACCAAAAAGCAAGGGGTTACATCACGTTTTTTGTCAAAATCTGGGTCGGTTCAAAAATCAAAACTTTTTTGATGAATTTTGTTGAATATCTCGGGTAATTACTGTCAGATTTTGAAGTTTTATACCTTTTTGAATTTGTACGGATCCCTATTCTCAATTGGCATTCAAACAAATCAAAAATCGATGGCTTAAGAAAAGTTTTTGAACAAAAACCGATTCGTTTGTAAAATCAACCTCTTGTGATCCTTTTTTTTGGAATATCTCGGCCAAATAATGTCCGATTTTGTTATTTTATACCATTTTCGACTCGTAACGATCAGTACTATCGATTGGCATCAAAAGAATTAAAATCTAAATTTTGACCCAAATCGACCAAAAAGCAAGGGGTTACATCACGTTTTTTGTCAAAATCTGGGTCGGTTCAAAAATCAAAACTTTTTTGATGAATTTTGTTGAATATCTCGGGTAATTACTGTCAGATTTTGAAGTTTTATACCTTTTTGAATTTGTACGGATCCCTATTCTCAATTGGCATTCAAACAAATCAAAAATCGATGGCTTAAGAAAAGTTTTTGAACAAAAACCGATTCGTTTGTAAAATCAACCTCTTTTGATCCTTTTTTTTGGAATATCTCGGCCAAATAATGTCCGATTTTGTTATTTTATACCATTTTCGACTCGTAACGATAAGTACTATCGATTGGCATCAAAAGAATTAAAATCTAAATTTTGACCCAAATCGACCAAAAAGCAAGGGGTTACATCACATTTTTTGTCAAAATCTGGGTCGGTTCAAAAATCAAAACTTTTTTGATGAATTTTGTTGAATATCTCGGGTAATTACTGTCAGATTTTGAAGTTTTATACCTTTTTGAATTTGTACGGATCCCTATTAACAATTGCCATTCAAACAAATCAAAAATCGATGGCTTAAGAAAAGTTTTTGAACAAAAACCGATTCGTTTGTAAAATCAACCTCTTTTGATCCTTTTTTTGGAATATCTCGGCCAAATAATGTCCGATTTTGTTATTTTATACCATTTTCGACTCGTAACGATCAGTACTATCGATTGGCATCAAAAGAATTAAAATCTAAATTTTGACCCAAATCGACCAAAAAGCAAGGGGTTACATCACGTTTTTTGTCAAAATCTGGGTCGGTTCAAAAATCAAAACTTTTTTGATGAATTTTGTTGAATATCTCGGGTAATTACTGTCAGATTTTGAAGTTTTATACCTTTTTGAATTTGTACGGATCCCTATTCTCAATTGGCATTCAAACAAATCAAAAATCGATGGCTTAAGAAAAGTTTTTGAACAAAAACCGATTCGTTTGTAAAATCAACCTCTTGTGATCCTTTTTTTTGGAATATCTCGGCCAAATAATGTCCGATTTTGTTATTTTATACCATTTTCGACTCGTAACGATCAGTACTATCGATTGGCATCAAAAGAATTAAAATCTAAATTTTGACCCAAATCGACCAAAAAGCAAGGGGTTACATCACGTTTTTTGTCAAAATCTGGGTCGGTTCAAAAATCAAAACTTTTTTGATGAATTTTGTTGAATATCTCGGGTAATTACTGTCAGATTTTGAAGTTTTATACCTTTTTGAATTTGTACGGATCCCTATTCTCAATTGGCATTCAAACAAATCAAAAATCGATGGCTTAAGAAAAGTTTTTGAACAAAAACCGATTCGTTTGTAAAATCAACCTCTTGTGATCCTTTTTTTTGGAATATCTCGGCCAAATAATGTCCGATTTTGTTATTTTATACCATTTTCGACTCGTAACGATCAGTACTATCGATTGGCATCAAAAGAATTAAAATCTAAATTTTGACCCAAATCGACCAAAAAGCAAGGGGTTACATCACATTTTTTGTCAAAATCTGGGTCGGTTCAAAAATCAAAACTTTTTTGATGAATTTTGTTGAATATCTCGGGTAATTACTGTCAGATTTTGAAGTTTTATACCTTTTTGAATTTGTACGGATCCCTATTATCAATTGGCATTCAAACAAATCAAAAATCGATGGCTTAAGAAAAGTTTTTGAACAAAAACCGATTCGTTTGTAAAATCAACCTCTTTTGATCCTTTTTTTTGGAATATCTCGGCCAAATAATGTCCGATTTTGTTATTTTATACCATTTTCGACTCGTAACGATCAGTACTATCGATTGGCATCAAAAGAATTAAAATCTAAATTTTGACCCAAATCGACCAAAAAGCAAGGGGTTACATCACGTTTTTTGTCAAAATCTGGGTCGGTTCAAAAATCAAAACTTTTTTGATGAATTTTGTTGAATATCTCGGGTAATTACTGTCAGATTTTGAAGTTTTATACCTTTTTGAATTTGTACGGATCCCTATTCTCAATTGGCATTCAAACAAATCAAAAATCGATGGCTTAAGAAAAGTTTTTGAACAAAAACCGATTCGTTTGTAAAATCAACCTCTTGTGATCCTTTTTTTTGGAATATCTCGGCCAAATAATGTCCGATTTTGTTATTTTATACCATTTTCGACTCGTAACGATCAGTACTATCGATTGGCATCAAAAGAATTAAAATCTAAATTTTGACCCAAATCGACCAAAAAGCAAGGGGTTACATCACATTTTTTGTCAAAATCTGGGTCGGTTCAAAAATCAAAACTTTTTTGATGAATTTTGTTGAATATCTCGGGTAATTACTGTCAGATTTTGAAGTTTTATACCTTTTTGAATTTGTACGGATCCCTATTATCAATTGGCATTCAAACAAATCAAAAATCGATGGCTTAAGAAAAGTTTTTGAACAAAAACCGATTCGTTTGTAAAATCAACCTCTTTTGATCCTTTTTTTTGGAATATCTCGGCCAAATAATGTCCGATTTTGTTATTTTATACCATTTTCGACTCGTAACGATCAGTACTATCGATTGGCATCAAAAGAATTAAAATCTAAATTTTGACCCAAATCGACCAAAAAGCAAGGGGTTACATCACGTTTTTTGTCAAAATCTGGGTCGGTTCAAAAATCAAAACTTTTTTGATGAATTTTGTTGAATATCTCGGGTAATTACTGTCAGATTTTGAAGTTTTATACCTTTTTGAATTTGTACGGATCCCTATTCTCAATTGGCATTCAAACAAATCAAAAATCGATGGCTTAAGAAAAGTTTTTGAACAAAAACCGATTCGTTTGTAAAATCAACCTCTTGTGATCCTTTTTTTTGGAATATCTCGGCCAAATAATGTCCGATTTTGTTATTTTATACCATTTTCGACTCGTAACGATCAGTACTATCGATTGGCATCAAAAGAATTAAAATCTAAATTTTGACCCAAATCGACCAAAAAGCAGGGGTTACATCACATTTTTTGTCAAAATCTGGGTCGGTTCAAAAATCAAAACTTTTTTGATGAATTTTGTTGAATATCTCGGGTAATTACTGTCAGATTTTGAAGTTTTATACCTTTTTGAATTTGTACGGATCCCTATTATCAATTGGCATTCAAACAAATCAAAAATCGATGGCTTAAGAAAAGTTTTTGAACAAAAACCGATTCGTTTGTAAAATCAACCTCTTTTGATCCTTTTTTTTGGAATATCTCGGCCAAATAATGTCCGATTTTGTTATTTTATACCATTTTCGACTCGTAACGATCAGTACTATCGATTGGCATCAAAAGAATTAAAATGTAAATTTTGACCCAAATCGACCAAAAAGCAAGGGGTTACATCACATTTTTTGTCAAAATCTGGGTCGGTTCAAAAATCAAAACTTTTTTGATGAATTTTGTTGAATATCTCGGGTAATTACTGTCAGATTTTGAAGTTTTATACCTTTTTGAATTTGTACGGATCCCTATTATCAATTGGCATTCAAACAAATCAAAAATCGATGGCTTAAGAAAAGTTTTTGAACAAAAACCGATTCGTTTGTAAAATCAACCTCTTTTGATCCTTTTTTTTGGAATATCTCGGCCAAATAATGTCCGATTTTGTTATTTTATACTATTTTCGACTCGTAACGATCAGTACTATCGATTGGCATCAAAAGAATTAAAATCTAAATTTTGACCCAAATCGACCAAAAAGCAAGGGGTTACATCACGTTTTTTGTCAAAATCTGGGTCGGTTCAAAAATCAAAACTTTTTTGATGAATTTTGTTGAATATCTCGGGTAATTACTGTCAGATTTTGAAGTTTTATACCTTTTTGAATTTGTACGGATCCCTATTCTCAATTGGCATTCAAACAAATCAAAAATCGATGGCTTAAGAAAAGTTTTTGAACAAAAACCGATTCGTTTGTAAAATCAACCTCTTGTGATCCTTTTTTTTGGAATATCTCGGCCAAATAATGTCCGATTTTGTTATTTTATACCATTTTCGACTCGTAACGATCAGTACTATCGATTGGCATCAAAAGAATTAAAATCTAAATTTTGACCCAAATCGACCAAAAAGCAGGGGTTACATCACATTTTTTGTCAAAATCTGGGTCGGTTCAAAAATCAAAACTTTTTTGATGAATTTTGTTGAATATCTCGGGTAATTACTGTCAGATTTTGAAGTTTTATACCTTTTTGAATTTGTACGGATCCCTATTATCAATTGGCATTCAAACAAATCAAAAATCGATGGCTTAAGAAAAGTTTTTGAACAAAAACCGAT